GGGTTCAGAGAGCTTCCAGGTTGGAGACCCTGGGAGAGCAATGCACCCAAAGAGAGTGTGGAAGCTCTGTACCCTTTCTCCGTACTTTGCACAATGCATCTCTTCCATTTGCCCATTCCTGAGTTACATCTTTTTATAATAAACCAAATCTAGTAAGCAAAATGTTTTTCTGAGTTCTGTGAGTTGTTCTAGCAAATTAATCAAACCGAAGGAGGCATCATTGGAACCTCCAATCTGTACCCAGTTGGTCAGAAGCACAGGTGACAACCTGGACTTGTGGCTGGCATCTAAAGTGGGATGGGGGGAAGTCTTCTGGGACTGAGCTCTTCTGTGGGACCTGATGACATCTCAAGGTAGAGAGAACTCAGAATTGAGTTGAATTTAGAACACCTGGCTGGTGTGTGGGGAAACCTGCCACACACACACACATGCACACACACACACACACACGAGAACAGGGAGACAGAGTTGTTAGCCCTACACATACATGGAAGCCGAATATCAGGCTCTGTTGATACCTTACAGGGCCAGTCCTCTACAAACTGAATGCTGATCCTCACTAGTGATAACTATGTATGAGTCAGTTCAACATAGCTGAGAGTCAGCACTGCGGAGCCTCCCTGAACTGCATTTGAATCCCATTTCTACCACACTCCAGCTGAGTAATCCAAGTCAAGTTATCTGTCCATTCTGAGCCTCAGTTTCTTCAGTAGAAAGGGATGATGAGAGCATCTCCATGACAGCATCGTATTCGTGATGCAATCCGTCTGGAACACTTGGCATCATGCCCAGGACATAGTATTTGCTCAGCAAACATTAACACTTTAATGCTACTGCTATTGTCATCAATAATAATAATAATAAAGATTATAATGTTAATCATTGTTTGATCTATCACTGAGTTTACCTGTTTCTCTCCTCCACAGAACCAGCAAATATTTCGGAATTCAGTATGTTCCCTGTAAAAGGGAAGGGACTCTGCTGTTTTGTCAACATGACACTGCAACAAGGAGATGGAGATTTCCACACCACGTTGTTAATTACCTGGCATATGTCACATAACTGATCAACTTTGTATGTCATGGTAAGATAATGAAATTTTGCTTGTCTTTGTCTTTATGAAGCCAGAAACCGTAATTGCACAGAAGAAATTTGATCTCTGTTGGCATGATTTGGTAGGATATTCATTAGTCTTAATGCTATAAATATCTCGGACACAGTTTTAAGGTTTGCACACCTGTGATTATACTCATAGAATACTGGAGTCAAAAGTAATCTGAATGAAAGTTTAGTTTGATAAACTTGTGCACAAAAGGAAATTGAAAGCCAGAAAAGTAAAGCAGGTTTCCCAAGGTCACACAGCAAGATAGCATGTTTACCTCAGGACTCCAGTGCTTTCCTTCAGATACAAAATACCATTCTGCAGATAATTAATTAGTACCCACTGCTTAGAGGTGAAAATTGTGTCCTTATGACTCTAGTTTAGCTGGCTTGAGTTGTATCCCATATCTAAGCTGGCAACATCTAAACAGGTAAGTAGAGAAAGATTCATAGCAGTGATAACATCCTTTCAGGTTCCACGAATGTTAACTCATCTTATGGTCAGTACTTCCCTGTGATCACTATACTATAGGTGAGAAAACTTAAGCTCCTGAATCTCAGCTTTGGAATGATGCACTCCTCTAGTGGCAATCAAGGAAGACTTCGTGGAAGAGGTGGTGTCGTAAAGAGCTTGGGCTGCTATGAAAGTATACCATAGACTGGGTGGTAGAAACAACAAACATTCAGTTCTCACAGCACTGGAGGCTGACAGCCCAAGATCAGGGTGCCAACATGGTTGGGTTCTTGGTGAAGGCTGTCTTCCTGGTTTACAGATGTCCATCTTCTCGCTGTGTCCTCACATGGTAAAGAACAGAGAGAGAGGAAACAAACTTGTCTCTTCTTATTAAGGGCACTCATCCCATTTGTGAGGCTGCACCCTCATGACCTAATTGCCTCCCATAGGCCTTACCTCCTAACGCTATCATATTGGGTGTTAGAATTTCAACATAGGAATTCGGGGGAGACAGATGACATTTAAACTGGGACTTAAAGGATGATTACCCATTGGATCAGAACAAAAAGGGAGAAATGTTCCAAGTAGAGGGAAAAGGTTGAGGAAGAAAAAGTGGTATATTGAGGTGTTCGTTAACAGACTTCCTCTTAGGACTTGATTTAGTGTGTTAAATACTGCATGGAAGGTACCAAATGAAAAAGGTGTTTTTATTGGTTGTAGGATTTCAAGGGCTTATCAAACAGTTAATGAGCAAGAATTGTGTACATTTTGTGGTTACAACTTTAACTAATAGGCAGAAGGGGAATTTGAATGTTATCTTCCAGTGTCCATGAAATAGCATCATGGTACTGTAATTATTAACATAATCATTAAAAAACAGTTTAGTTAAATTTAAGAAAACCTAGACACATGAAGGCATAGCATCTTCATCAAAGCAGCTCCAGTCCAGATAAAGCGAGCCTTCTAAATTGACTTTGATGCTTTGAAATAAAATCCTTGGAGCACCAATTATAGTGGGTTCTGTAAAGCAATTATTATCAGCTGCCACTGCTTTCCAGTGCAAGTTCTAATTTAATTACATCTTTTCTGTTGAAAATGCAGTGCTGCTCTCTAAGGTACAGCAAGGAGGGAAAAAGGAGTTTGTTACTAAAAAATAATAATAATAAAGATACTTTTTTTTACTGGACGTAATTAGTCTCAGACATAACTGCTTCCGAGAGAGACACGGGATTATGAACTCATTCATTTCAAGCAGTCGTTGCTACGAAGGAATGTTCATCTTCAGGGGTGGGGAAATAGTTACCCCGGGTGAAATGGATACAGAAGGAAAGACACAGAGCTTGCACACCTCCTCGCCCCTCCGGCTGCTGAGTGCCTCCTAGGGTCTCTTTCAGCCGGGCTCCCTTATTCCAAGAGAAATCAAGTTGACAGATTTGTTTTATCGATTGTGAATATTTAACAATTGCATTTGGCTTCCAACTCCTGTTGACGGAACAACCATTTTGCACAACTTGTGAATTCGCTTTTCCTATTTTTACTGCTAAGAACAAAAGTAGCTGTGCGCTTCCCTGGCAGAAAACCAAGCCACATTGACTTTTACAAAAAAGACTTTTCCCATCATCCTCAGAGCTCATTGCTTATCTAGTGGCACTGAAATTCCTCCTGTTTCTAAATTCACCAATTCCCTGGACGGTGGTGAAGAATCATTGCTTTTTCTGGGTGGAAAGAGTCCTTTTGATCACAGACCCACTGATTTATTATACAGATGATGGGATCGAGAGATCCAGGCTTTAAACGGACTCTTCGAGGTCACCACAATGCCAGGTAGAGCAGGGACTAGATGCCCGGCCATCTGCCTTTCATTTCTGTTGAAGCAGGGACTCTTCCATGGAGATGAATTTGGCATTTGGCCTTGACATGTAGAATGAAGTTCATCACCACCCCGTCCCACGTTTTTTTAAAACTGTGATGAGTCACTGCTTCTCAAAGTCTTCCTAACAGTGTCTGAAATCCCCTGTATGAACATTCAATAGACATTTTAATTGCACATTTCTGGATCCCATGGCAGACCTACTGAATCTGAGCACATTAAAGTTTAAAAATGTGGCTCTTCCCAGTAGCTCTCAATCAGGGTGCAGGAGCTTAATGTAAAAATTAAGGAACCTTTCTTGAACCATACATACCAAATATTCCCTTCATTACTACCCGTGATAATGTACCTAAGGGTGGACTCTTAAAAAGAATATTCTCCCAGTATGAAAACTATTGTTCTGAGGAGCACCAGGAACAAAACTGTACCAGATAAAAAATCCTGCAGCAGAATAAATGAGTTCTGTATACTTATTTCTTGCTGCTTACAGTGAAGGACACAGATAGCATAATTAAAAACAAAGAAAAAAAGAGCAAAATCAGTGTAATAAAGATGCCTTGGGAGAGAAACACTGCACAGAAAATGGAGGTGAATGAAACTCACTAAGTTCACATAGCAACATCTGAGCTTCCTGGCAACCAGAGCAAAAAGGAAAATGCAAAATGCTGCAGTGCTCTCATAATCTAACAGTCCAAAGGAATACTGGGTTTTCCTAAGCATTAAATTCTGAGCAAATTTAATGCAATGACACTGAACAACACTGGAGCAATGTTTGTCCTGACAGCTTTTGAATAATGTAGAAAGATTGTCTGCATGATTGTTCTGGAACTTGCTGAGCATGTAGGCCAAAGCAGTAGGACTCTGATCCATACACATCCCTTGGTCTCATCTCATTGTGCATCTTGGGGAAACAAGAGAAGCAGAAAAGGACATTTTGGAGCAGTAATAACCAGCATACCTGGGTTTGTCTCCATCATGCAGATGAAGATTTTCCACGTAAAGCTGTTGCCAGGCACAAGGAATTTGGCAGCTGCCACATCCCTCAAAGCTGATGATTCCCAGATGATCTAATTAGGGCACCTCTGCATTAGATGCACTGTGATTCGCCAATGCCGCAACCCCAAGAACTTAAAGACTCAGACATCCAATCGATCGTACACTTTGGAGAATTCTTAGAGCATTTGAGCTCTGGTTTACTGTAGAAGCTCACTGCACCACCTCTTCAATTACCACCCCCAACGTGTCAGCATAAAAACCAAGTTGCCGTTCCCTGTGGCTGGAAAATTCTATGACTCGAGTGGTGTTCTGTCAAAATATTTTTCAGAACATTTCTTGAGGCTATAAAACAAGATTAAACAAAACAACTTACTCCAGGTCAGTCACTCTCCAGAGAGCAATAAAGATAATTTTTTGTTTATGGAAAGTTGCGGGAGGGAGGAGTATTAAAAACAAAACCACAAAACCTGGCCTCCAGGTTTTATCTGACTCCTTGGAATGCTGGTAAGATTGCCCCGCAAAGGAAGAGGCTCTCCCAAGTCATGCAGATAGTCTATTTCAGTCAGGTTTTCTTGAACACGTAGATTAGGGCTTAGGTAATTTCAGTCTTCTCATGGTGAGGTGCTGTGTGTTTTTAAATCGCGTTTTTAAACCCTGCGTCTGTAACACCGCAAGATATTATCCGGCATATCTGTATGTCACACCCCAGGAGGAGGAGGCCTCAGAGGCAGCGGGCTGTTTTGTCTGAGCTGCCGCGTGCTCTGGAAAAGAGAAATGTCACCCCCCGCACCGAAGGGATTTCACTCTGGACCAGGAGTCATATTTGTTAATTGCTCATGTTCCTGATTCTCAGGTCATGCTTGAAATCATCCAGTTCAAAAGGGAGCCCCTCAGAGATGATTTCTGTTTTGCAATCTGACACTCAAATTGAAGAGTGGGATTTGTAAGTCTCTAGGCCCCTCTTTTCTGTATCCATCTTTATGAGGACGTCACTCCTCGGCTGTTCCTCCTCAGCCAGAGAAGACTGAGGTCTGAGGTCTGAGTTCCTCGGTCAATCTCGAAACAGTGAAATTTTTCTGTATCGGAAATTTGTACCTGAAAACTAGCACTGAGCTCTGCCACTTCACTCAGTGTTGGACCGAGTAAATAATTGGATGGTTAAACTCAGAAAGGTGTCAGAACCTTTGGGAGTGGGCAGGAGACGGTGTCTGTGAGACGCTGAAAACTGGAGCTTGAAATCTAGTCTCCCCCCTCCCACCCCCGCCTCATAGAATCACCTAGTCTGCCACCCACGGCCCCAGATTTGTGCTTTGTACTCTTGGATGACTCCCATCACCTCTCAGAGACACACGGGTTCTCCCCAAGAAATGAACGCCTCACTAGGGAGGATTCTAGTGACACGTAGACATCCTTCTATCATTCTCCTCCTCTCCTAAAGCAGCCTAAAGTTATGTAGGTGGGTGTAAAGTGTCTCCCCAAGTCACGCCGGAATGTGCAGATTCTCAAGGAGGCTCCCAAGATGACACGCCACATAAAATCCTCCAGACGGAACCAAATCTGGAATAACGGTAGCCTTGAGCATCCCCTGACTCCAGGGCGGGGGCCCAGTAGAGAGGAGAGAGCCCCATCCAGGCACACGTCCCCCCCAGCTCCACCTTGGGCT